TTAATATTTTTCCTATTACATATAAATTCCCAAATGTAACAGTAAAACAGGTCTCTTATTGGATTCAATTGATTGGGATTGACTCCTACCTGCAACACATTTGGGCAAATCCACACTGCCATTCAAAGACATCCAGTAACCCTGAGCTTCACATCTGTACACATCTGAGAAGTCAAAAGAGATGAATACGTTTTTTACAGGCAAGTGGGGGCACAGTTCACATATATATAATACTGACCATAGAGCAGGAATGTTCAGTTTTGCCAGTGTGTCTAACACAGCTTCTAAAAACACAAATCAGTTAATTTTTGTCTTAAATATGCTAATTGGACAACTTCTTCCAGCAGATCAGGTGTTTTAGAGTAAGAGACAATGTACAGACACTAGTCTTTCTAGACTGGAGAAATCAATAAAGACAGTAATACAGGCCATGGAGAAACTATCAGCTTTCTGTACAAGCTCTTACAGTTTGTACAAGCTCTTACAGAAAGACATGTACTGACAATACCAAGGGCTGGACCAGTCACTCAGAGAAATTGGGACAGTCACTGAGCAACAGAGATACACTGTATTGCCGTGTTCCTGTGACTCCATTCACAGGCAGAAGCACAGAAGTAAAAAAATCAAAGGGTTACCGTCTCCCTCCAGTCTGTAATATTTGGACTCGCACTCAAACCGTATCTCGTCCTGGTACAAAGTTTTGGGGTTCTCACTGACCACTCGTAGTGTCCCATTCTTTGCCACAGGAAAGCCACAGTCTACAGCTGGAATAACAGTCAGGATAAGATTGCTGAACACATCAGGAGCTGCACAGCAAAGTATCTTCTCTGTCATCACATGTCTGGGTTTGAATCTTCCGACTTTGTGTAGTGTATGAGTTTCTTTGTTTCAGGGAGGGCTTTTGTGAGAGTTTTGTGCCATTACACAATATAGAAATGAGTCTCTGTGTTATTACAGCACCCCTACTTTAATATTATTGAGTACGCTCGTAGTATCTCAGTCTCTAGCACCTCTGCAAATCTGCAGTCCACAGCTGGAACAACAGAAGAAGAAAAATCAGGATGAGATAACAGAAGACGACAGAACCTGAACAATAAAGTGTCTGTTCTGTCTCCAGTTTCCCCCCTCTGTCTTTGTTTCGCTATGTTTGTCTTCTCTGTTGGCTCCAAATAGTCTGAGTGTGTCTCTTGGGATGTGGTGTACTGTATACCACTAGTTTAACAATTTTGTTGTTGTTGTTTTTTATTGTCAGCCATCTCCCTCCCCATCCACAAATGTCTAACAACTTTAGATGTTTTAAAAAAATCAAAGAACATCATGTAGCTTGTGTACCAGACAGTAACCAAGAAGAGTAGTTAGTTCTGAGGAAGGAGATTTCATGTTTTCAAAGCATACAAATAGCATGTTGGAAATGCTATAAAATGTTAATCTTCTGTTGACCTATTTGGTGTTACATCCGTAGCAATAGAAATCCATCCATTTTCTAACCACTTTAACCAATACAGTGTCTTGAGAGACCTGGAGCCTCTCCCTGCAAGCAATGGGCTCAAGGCAGAATGTGCCCTGGACAGGACACCAGTTCATCACAGGTCAGACAGACACAAACACTCATAATTTAAAGCAAGCTGTATCACTCTGCAGCTCACAACTGGCAACCCACTGAATCTCAGCAGGTGTGAGCCTGGACAATACCTGGATGGGAGACCTCCTGGGAAAGCTAAGGTTGCTGCTGGAAGAGGTGTTAGTGGGGCCAGTAGGGGGAGCTAAACTGAGGGTCAGTGTGGGTCTTAATGCCCCAGTATAGTGACGGGGAGACTATACTGTAAAAAGGTGCCGTCCTACAGATGAGACAAAAAAAACGAGGCCCTGACTCTCTGTGGTCATTAAAAATCTCATGGTGTTACTCGAACAGAGTAGGGGTGCCACCCAGTGTCCTGGCTAAATTTCCCCCTGGCCTTTACCAATCACAGCCTCTTAATAATCCCCATCTCTGAACTGGCTTCGTCACTCTGTTCTCCTCCCCACTGAAAGCTGGTGTGTGTGTGAGAGTACAGGTGCATCATCCAGGTGGGGCTGCACACTGGTGCTGGTGGAGGGGATCCCCATTACCTGTAGTGTCCAGAAAAGTGTTATGTAAGTGTAATTTTCCCAGAAGCCAATGAACCTAGCAATCTATCTCTGAACTATGGGAGGAAACTGGGGCACTTGGAGGAAACTCATGCAAATCTAGGGAGAACAAGTAAAATCAATGCAGACAAAACCCCAAAATAGAACCCGGAGCCCTCATACATACGCTGGCAGGTGCTATTGTCAGGCTGTAGCTGGTATCCATGGTGACAGGAACACAAGAACCCGCCTAGGTTGTTGTTACACACATGGTGACACGCCTGCCCCTTCTCGGCCTCTACAGAGCACTCGTCTATATCTGGGAGAGGAGAGAGAGAGGTGAGCACACCTGCTGACTGATTCACTCCTCCTCCATATAACACATCAACGCCGAACCACAGTGAGAGATTGTTCAGTTTGACAGACATCACAGAGATATAACATTAGTTCTGTACAACTGGGAACTGTGAATCCGTGTCGTCATGAGAGGGAGAGAGTACGAGCTACTGTGAGAACAGAAGAGCATCACAGAACTAATCAAGGAGATAAGACTGTAGAAGTATGCAGGGCAGCCTAGTGAGTCACTAATGTCAGCCAGTGAGTTCCTCAGAACAGGTTGTTAAAGTAAAATGCACTATCCCATAAGTAGGGGAAGCCCTGTGCTGTCGTAGCCCATCAATCCAGTGGGGCACAATCTCTTTGGACAAGGTCAGGCCCAGCATTCCATTCACAGTGACTGATGATCAAGTGATTTATCTGGACGTTGCTACTTACAAGCCAAAATCCTGTGGGTTGAGTTAGTTGTGGTCTGACTTTCTGGTGAGATCCTGCGAACAGTGCTGGCATAAGTTCTGAGTACTTGACCTAATATGCACAATTCACTGAGGTTCAAGGGTGGTATCGCAGCAAACACTCCAGAATTACTGTGAGCTACCTGTGAGCTACCATGCTACCATGCAACACAGGCGTAACCCCATCAGCCAGCTGTCATGCAGTGAAAATATAAGCCAAGAATCATTCTGGGGCTCCCTCCTTCCTCCAGTCCAGCAACATTTATAATTGAAGTTCACAAGATTTAAACACATTGTAAAGCTTCTGTATTATAAAAATGTTTAATGTCAGCACACTGTGAGTTTTATCCAGTGAAAATTTTTTGTAGAGCATTTCATATTCAAAGTGAACTGGAAGACTTGAACACCAAAGCAAAGACTGACCCACAGCCTGGTAGATGGCTGAGAAGCCGCTGTATCTGTGTGGTCCTGGTGACGAGTCATCTGTACTGAAGACCAGGCGGAGACTGTTGCCAGGTGACATGATGGAATAGTTGCCGGGGCGATCACCCTGGAAACTGGGATTCGGACCACAGAACACTCCGAGAAATCTCCTTCCAAACATGACCTTGACAAATAGAGAGAAAATTCACACACTAACACCATCACAGCAAACAATGATGCAAAAATTAAAGGCCTATGAAAGTGTCCAGAAACACCTGACCAAAGATAATACTACTAGATATCATCCTAGATAATCATCCGACTAGTCATCACTAGTCATAATCAATCATGACTATCCTAGAAAATCATCCTACTAGAGACATAAATGGAACTAAAAGAAGTTGATCCATTTACACCTAAGACAATTGGTCAGGACAGAGGGTCTAGAAAGTCCCTAATACTGTATAAAGGCAGAATTAACATAGAAAAAACGCCACAAGAGGCACAGTTAATAAAGAGAGATTAATAACATGCCGTAAACATATATATAGACACACAATGGAGTCTCATCATGGAGAAAGCCCATCAAAGACTACTCCCAATGACAGTTGGGAAAGTTGGGAGTTAATCAGGAAGCAATGACACACCTCTAAATAACTGTGACTGAGAGTGATCACCTCTTCAACAGCACTGTGAAACAGCAATACAACTGCCCAAGAGAGAAAACACAATCTTCCCTCTGTTACCTCTATATATGACACTCGTATCAAAAGAAAGATAAGAAGGTTTCAAATTACCAAAAGTAGTTCTGTTCGGTTCCAAACTAGCACCTATCTAGTATTAAAGTATCAAATGGGAGCAAATATCAATATACTGTAAGAGCTTTTGATATATTTTTTTAATTTTAAACTTTGAGTTTAGATTGACTGATTCAATAACTGTATGTTTATGTGCATAGGTATTATTTTTGTTTTGTTTGGGCATCAATGGGGCACATTCCAATCAACTTTATTGATGTGACAATAAAGTATTGAATCTGGGGTCTTGCATGGAGTCCATTCAGCAGTTTTTCCAGTTGAGTTCCTGTCATTCTGTGTATCTCACCATGAGGGAGTCATAGTCGCAGTTGTTTGAGGGCTCAATATCAAAGTGATGAAATGTGAGGTTGAGGGTGTACCCCTGGGGTACCAACAGGTCCCATATTTCATTAAGGAATGGAGGATAAGGAGCAGGGTAACCAGGTGACTGCACTTCCCCATGCAGTACTGGGATGGACCCTGAAATCACAACTCCCCAACACTGGAACACACACAGCAACCTGGAATGACAATGAAAAGTAATGAAAATGTAATAACACAGTGCAACCAGTAACAATATACAAGAGATGTTCAAGACTAGATTAACTGTACATGAACACGAAAAACATTGTGTACAAACTTTTAACGCTTATTTTTAATGGGATATACTTTTAAATTGGGAAAAACTTTTGTAAATGAACATAACGCATGTGTTTTAGTCTGTTTCCTACTCACAGGCACAGACAAACACATTGGTATTTAAACACTATTCCAGTCCCTGTCTTTTTGAATAAAAGATTCCATAGATTAAATAGAAAAGCTTGGTGTCTCACTCACCATGGAACATTGATGAACAGCCTCATACTCTGCCTTATTTGTCGTTTCTGTTGGATCAGTCCAAATCTTCCTTTTTCCCCCCCCATGTAGCACTGCCTAGCCAAGCAGTGCTAAAAAATACAAAGACACAGTAACCGACTGCCAGATGCTACAGAAAGATCACAGTGCAGCGAGAGAGGGAGAGAAATTTATTGTTCTTACAAAACATGGCTTGGAAGAGTCACAAGTGTCTCAGACAGTGATAGACACAGCAAGAAAGGAAAGGAGTCAATGCATCCAGTATGTCGCTATTAAAAAAAACAGAATGATCTATGAGGGAGGGAAAGATAACTGGCAGAGGGGAAATGACTGTTGTATTGCAGTTTTAATGCTACAGTAGCTGTCCGATCTATTTGTTTGTTCTCGAAAGTGCAAATTCCAATCTCTGTGTATTCTGGTCTGTTAACTCTTTCAGCACCGAGTGATAGATTGTCATTCACCCTATTGTTAAGGCTGGAAGGGCAGCTTTGAAAGCACATCCAAATGAGTGTTCAATGGGGTAGTCCCTGTAAAGCACTTTGAGTGGAGTGTCCAAAAAAAGAGCTATGCAAGAGTAAGGAATCATTATTATTCCATGATTGCAAATGTTTTCATTTGGTATGGTGGTATCCATAAAGATCAGATTGTTCAAAAGTACCTAAAAGGTGGACCCAAGGATCTTATCAAATCAAAACTCATGTCTACGGTATTGGACAGCGCAGGAGACTTCATTGTAGGATTTTCAACAGCTTTACCCCACCCATGTTATTGACTGGGTCCCCTCCCAAGCCAAGAATAGCCCTTGGATCCAATCAGTAAATCCTGGACTCACAACCGCACTCCATTGGTGCTTCCTTACTACCCTAACACCCTCTCTTTCCCCAGGACTATAAATGACAACTTCCCCAGCTTACAGGATGATCCCTCCACTAGTACACCATTTTTCTGACCGCCCCATCATCTCATATCGCCGACCACCTACTCTACTGAACCTTCTTGAGCACGATTCCCTTGACCGCCCTCAGCAATCATCCACACCAGGCACTTTCCCCAGCAATAGAACGCATTGCATCACCTGTCAATATATATCCAACACTACGCACAACACAACGCTACTGTATGCAGCAACCTTACTTACTGCATCTCTTGCAGAAAACGCCCGGCTATTTACATTGATGAGACAGTTTCCGGGAACATGTCCGGGCTGTGAGGATCAAAGATCTCTGCAAGCCCACAGTTTCCCACTTCACGCTGATCTCTCCACCTGCATTCTCACAGAAGAGTTTCAGAACTCCCATTGCAGAAAGACATTCAAAACCAAAACTATCCTGAAACTAGTATCACACTTTCTCTCTTCTCTCAGCGACAGACTCATTTCCTTCTTATCCTTTCTGTTCATTTGCAGGCTTTCACACCTCCCCTCATCCATCTTTAGTTCATCACTGCTTCTCTCCTGCTTCCACCTCCTCTCTTCATTCACACATTCTTTATCATCTGCTGGTTTTCCTCTCTCCCTTACACCTCCACAGCCAAAACATATTCAGCATGGAATAAACCTTTACTTGCTCCTTTACAGCTTTCCAACAGATAGACTTTAATGCAGCCTACACAGACCAATATCGAAAAGACTACCACCTCCAGCTCTGTGAAACCTCTTTTATACCCAAATATTCCACTAAAGAACATCATGTGAGAATGCTAAATTTACCACCAACAATCTCCTACATTAAATAATTAGCACCTGTGTGTATTTTCAACTGATAGAGGCCTCTAATGACTCTAACTCTGCCGGTCTCTATTGGCAGGTTGGCTGCTATTGCAATACTCGCCTGCCACGCTGCTTTCCAGATCCTCAGTATGAATCAGCTATTCATAATGTAATCTTTGTTCATTTGGAAATCATGTATAAAAAACATTTGACAAAGGAGCTGCTTTTGTTGCCGCAAGCTGCAGAAAAGTGGAACTTAAATGATGGTGAATAATAAGTGATTAGAAGAGAGAGCTACAACAAAATGTAGAAATGTTAATCATGCCTTCAACCAGGGTGCAACAGTTAAGGTGCATACTTTTGGAGGCAATAATATGGCAAAAATTGTCACACTCGAAGCTTAGATTTTACCATTTTTTTACCATTCATACCATACGTTTCAAGATTGGGTGGACAGGGATTGTGAGAGGAATTTCCACCTCTGACAACTGACACTTTATTCAGCTGAGTGAAGGGTTAATGTCTGTGGTGCTGGTAGGCTTATGTTCAGAAAACGTTTTGTCACAGAACACTGATTATTTTATGACACTTCTATAAGTTAAATGATCACATTACATATAAAGTATATATATACAAAGTACTTCTGGCATACCATTTTCTGTTACTAAAAAGATCAGTTTTAAGAAGTGAAATAAAATGTAAATATTGTCTACATTTTATGTACCACAATTTTACTTTAAAACTCCATTTTTATTTCTTATAGTGCCCTTTGCAATAATTTACCACAAACCATTAATTCTAAAATGGCAGCCTGTTTGAATTTATTTTTATTCTCTTGACACAGGTGATTGTACTATCTTTTCCACTGCGCAGAGAAAACGATTGTGAACCCCCCGGGCTGGTGGGAATTCTTGTTTGAGACCTAATATCTATTTAAGTCTTCAACCCCAAATTCCTGGTTCCATCAGTGATGGGTCCTGAGACAGCAAAGCAGACCAAAATTATGATGCTCCCACCACCGTGCTTGACAGTGGGGCTGGGGATCTACTGATAGAAGACATGTTGAAGTGTCTGAAGGGTGCCATGAGCTGCTATATCTAAGGATTCACATACTGTATGTATTCTTAGTTTGTGTTTGTGGTATTTGTTTATCTTAATCTTTTATTAAGACATCCATGAAGATCTAATTACGTTTTATGTCTGAAACATATGGGGAATATGGCCAATCTAAGGGGCTGGGTAAACTTTTTCTCAGCATTGTATATAGAGCATCAAAAGAAACATGAATTCACTAAGTTATTTGCAGGACAATGACAGAAACAAATGTAGCATGTTCACTTATATTGATATTGAATGCACATGGCACAGATCAATTCATTATGCTGATTAACATGAGTCATCACCAGCTTGTCTACTGAGAAGTTGTAGGCCATGAGTTCTGTGACCAACATTGGAAACGATATAGGATGTCTTGGGTGAATCTGTCTCATTCCCCTCAAAGATGCCACATAGACTCAAGTCTATCAAAAAGGACATCCTACTTGTTTATTACAATCTAGTTGTGGACAACATTCCTCTCCTCTTTCTCTATGATCTCTCTGATCCAGTCCAGGTAATTGTCCACTTTAGTGTAGTAACCCCTCTCCTGACAGTACAGCCCCCAGGACACAATGCCATAGAGACGGAATGGACCCCTTTCTATCTCTCCACCTGGTCCTCTCCGAAACTCTCGGAGGAAGAAGGGACCCCCACTGTCTCCATAACAGCTATCTTTGCCCTTCTCACCAGCACAGAACATGTTCTCACTGAAAGTCTGATAGAGAGGCCTTCCGGTTTTCCTCTTGGAGCAAGGGTTTTTGTCTATCACAGGGATCTGGGTGTACAAAAGTCGTGAGCTTATTGTGCCATGCTCCGTCGTGCCCCATCCAGAAACATATCCGACTCTCCCCGGGATCACTGTCCCATCGTCTTTCCTCTCGGGGAGACAGATAGGGAGCAGATGGGGTCCCAGCGGTACGCGAGATTTCAGTCTGACCAGGGCGATGTCGTTGTTATAATTGGTACGTCTTCCTCTTGTTGGGGCTTTTGGGTATCCTGGATGGATGAAGATCTTCTCGCTCTCTAAAAACACAGTGTTATTCGAGTCCCCTAAATGGTCAATGTCCACTGCCCCCCCGTACATCAGCAGACTGTCCTGCCCCTCAACCACGTTAGCGGCTGTGAGGACCCATCGGTCGGAGATCAGTGAGGCTCCTCCTCTCGGAGTTTCAACAAAGATCTGCCAGGGGATCTGACCAGCATCTGCTGCACTGCCTCCAAAGATACGACCAAAATTAGAGTGCTCAAACTCAGGCTCTCCACACACTGAGAGAAAAGGAAAGAGTAAAGGAAGAACGGTCAGAATTTCAGAAAATTATCACAAAGACAAAGGTAGGGATTCATACATGCATGTTGACTGATTATCCTTTTAAGGACCATAGGATGTTAATGCAAATATATCATGTACAGGTATGCATGTACTGTTGACTACAAATATGCAGGGTATGAAAACAGACCTCTATTATATTAATACCAACCTGTTGAACATAAATAAGCCGTTCAATATAGTGTATGGACAAAGATATTAACACAGACC